GTGAATTTGGTCCAGGAACTCGAGCAGCCACTTCTGGCTGCACGGGCTTTCCTCGGGGTCTGCGGTCTTCAGGTAGTACTGCAGCCACATGGTCTTGGCTTACAGGAGTAAGTGGCTTGTCCCTGCGCCAGGACCTAGGACTGTTCCTCCCAAGAGGTTGGCCAAGTAGAGGGGCGCAGCAGAGATGTTGTAAATAGGGAAAGTGGTGCTTTTAAGGTCCATGATGTTATTCTTCTGCCAGATGAACAGGAGTGGGTTGGAGGGCATGCAGGTGCTCTGGTACCTGGCACACACCTGAGGGTAGAGGACCTGGGTTCCATCTTCCCAAGGCGCAGTCAGCGTCTGCACTGCCTCGTCCAGTTGACTCATTTCTGAGAAGATGACTTGATCCAGCAGATTGGCAGTGTTGGACATCACCAGGATGGAGGCAAAGTTGACCTCCGCACTGGACCACAACAGGGAGAAGAGGTGGAACTCGTTATTGGAGAAATGTGCCTGCACAATTCTCAGCTCAATTTTGCCGGGGCTGCCCAAAGAGGTGTACTGCTCCTCCAGGCTCTCTTCAGTCTCCCTGGGAAGGTACGTCAACCGGTGCCCAGGACAGCCGTCAGTACCAGGGGCGCCAGCAGGAAGAGCCAGAGGTGCGAGCCCACAGCCAGCCCCATCCTCTGGAAGCCCCGGGAGAGGGGCTGCTCCAGGCGGTTGGTGTGGCAGCGGGGCCTCCCAGGGGGTGGCTGCTGCCCCTGGGCTTCTGGGACCGGTGAATCCCCTCTCTCAGACGGCTGTCGGGGTGGGTCTGAGGAAGTCCCCGAAGCCTGGCTCTCGTCGGGCTCTTGCCCCTCACTGGATACCAGGACCTGCTCTGGGTGCCCGTGGAGGTGGGGAGCTGCTGGGGCCCAGTCACCCCCTCAGGATCTGCTCTGCTCTCAGACCATAGCTCGGGCCAGTCCTCCTGCTCTGGCCTCTGAGCCCCTGAAGCCTCCCCTTGCTCGAACCCCCCTTGGGGTGCAACCTTGGAGGAATGGACCCCCATTTCCGGAAGGACCGACCAGTTGTTCAACAGGAGACCAAGAAAGCAGTGACTGAATGTTTCGCCCAGTCCCCTCCCCCCGCAGCTTCCAGGAGGAATCCACAGGGAGGCTGTGCCAAAGGTCACTGCTCTTGCGACCTTTGACCTCCACTGTGCATGCCCGGATGCAGCGGGGGGATACCAGGGGGGTACTTTGCTGGAGAGCTGGGTCTTTCCAGCTGGCCTAGTGGGGGGAAGTGGTTTCCAGGCGGGTCTGCGTTCCTGCCCTTAGTATTCCCTGCCTGAGGGGCCTGCATTTGCTACACTGTTATCAGTCCTGGGGTTCCCTCCTGTGGCCTGGCGGGAGTGTTGATATATCCGAGGAGAGAAGCAGAGGCTGGGACAGAAAGGGAGAAGGAAGCCAGAGAAGCCCAGAGTGAAGACCTGCCGGGGCTTTTCATTTCATTTATTTATTTTTTTAGATTTGTTTATTGTTATTCAAGAACTGGGGTACAGGCCAGATGCGCGGGAGGGTGAGAGGATTCACCAGAGACAGAGCGGGGAGCAGAACAGGCAGACTGGCTGAAATACACTGCTGAGGGGAGCAGCGGGCGAGACAGGAGACGTCTGCCACGCCATGTGGGACCCTCGCCGGTAGCCGGGGCCGCGGACAGCTCCACAGTGCGGGGCTCAACCCGCTGCGCCACTGGGGAGACCCCACTTTTCATTTTAAAAGTGAAGGGAAATCGAAATACTAATGAAATGCTAGTTATGAAAGTTGAAGTAGTTAGATTACAATCAAAAAAAGTGGATATTCAGAAGAATAAAAAAAAATTGCAGAGAAACAAGTGACCACATAGTGACAAAGAGTTTGATTTATGGGGCAATCCTCAAATGTGAGGTGATTGTAGTCTCAAAATATGTTTTTAAAATTCCAGAGCATAAGAAAATTATGAAAATTACAATGGCGTGCATAAATTAGAGACTTGATAAATAGAGACATCAGTGCAATCCAAAAGACTAAAGTCAGAAATGAAAGATTACCATGGATCATTCTGAAATTTAAAACAATTTTAAGAAATTACTCTGAGAAATGACATGCCAACAAATTGTGCACATTAGATGATACAGACAAAATCCTTGGAATAGAAACGGTATCAAGGCCGAATGGACAGACCTCTCTCTAGAAAGGAATGACTCAGTCAAAGAAAAGCCTCTTAGAGCATGCTTTTAACTGGGCTTCGGAAAGGCGGGTGATGTACTGTTCCTATTATAAGGAAAATTGCCTGGCATTTTCCCATGGTTGCAATCACTTTGCATTAATAGTAATTATGTCTTTAATGTAAGTAGAAAAAGCATTTTTTCATACAGTCTTCAGATTGTAAGACTACTCTAAGAGTTTATGGGAATATCTTTTACAATCTCTTAAAGGAGAAATAGATTTTGAATGTTGGTTATCCATAAAGTCATGGTTGAAAGGAGACCACAAGAGGGCACTCGGGAAAATGAATAACTATAAGAAAGTGAAAATCAAAATCAACAAAAAAACTATGAACCAGAGACAGTTTTTGGGGAGTGGGGGGTGGGAGGGGAGGGACTGGGGTCAGAATGGGGGGGTTGCAAATGTATGGGGAATATAAAAATAAAATTTATTATTAAAAAAAAAGAAAAAAGAAAAGAAAATGTTGATCATTGTCAAAAAAAAAAAGTTACAGTAAACTAGCAGGAGGGCTCCTTTTCTTTTTATTCCCTGTTTCAAGTTCTAATTACAGCCACCTCTTGAATGTATTATTCACATGCTTTCAACCTACTGGCATCTGTATCACATTTAGCCTGTAGATGGAATTACTGATTTGGGAATGTCATGTGTTATACCACACACATATTATGGAGGGAATGGCTTGGTGTCCTAAAGTTTGAAGAGGAAAGATCGAAAGGTCCTTACAAGTACTCTACCATGAAGCAAATCCAGGCACAGGGCCTCTCAATGCCCATCTCTGTGATACTTCTTTAGCATCACGTCAGCATATTTTTCCCCTCAGAAAACAACTACTGAATGTCCACAAGAGTTCACAAAGCAGTCACTGGTAAGTACTAACTTTTATAGAAAAGCAAGTATATGCTTCTGGATCCTATATTATCCTGTCTTCTCCTTCTAGATTATTTTATTAATCTACTCATCTAGATTACTAACATTTGTTTGAGTCTAGAATGTCAGTCAAAAAAGACTGTCTTTATTTAATTTTTCTCCTGCCAATTTTGTTTTATATTATAAGAATTGTAGTGTTTAGTAGGTCCAGAAATCTCCACACAGCTCTCCATAGTGGTTGGACCAGTTTGCACTCCCACCAACAGTGCACAAGAGTTCCTTTTTCTCCACATCCTCGCCAACATTTGTTGTTGCTAGTTTTTTTAATATGTGCCATTCTCACTGGTGTGAGATGGTATCTCATGGTAGTTTTGATTTGCATTTCCCTGATGACAAGTGATGGTGAACATTTTTTCATATGTCTGTTGGCCATTTGCATTTCCTCTTCAGAGAAGTTTCTTTTTAGCTCTTCTGCCCATTTTTTGACTGGATTATTTTCTTTGTTGTTGCTGAGTCTCATCAGCTCTTTGCAGATTTTTGTGATCAGTCCTTTATCATTAGTGTTGGGTGCAAAAATGTTCTCCCAGTTGGTGGGGTTTCTTTTGTTTTTGTTATTGTCTCTTTTGCTGTGCAGAAGCTCTTTAATTTGATGTAGTCCCAGCTGTTTATCTTTCTCTTCACTATCACTGCTTTGGGTGCTTCCATATGATCCAGCAATTCCACTCCTAGGTATTTACCCAAAGGACACAGAAACATCAATTCCAAAGAGCACCTGCACTCCTATGTTTATAGCAGCACTGTTTACAATAGCTAAGCTTTGGAAACAACCCAAATGCCCAAAAATAGATGACTGGATCAAGAAGATGTGGTACATATATACCATGGAATATTACTCAGCATTCAAAAAAGATAAACACATGCAATTTGCAGCAACATGGATGGCACTGGAAGGGATCATGCTCAGTGAAATAAGCCAAAAAGAAAAAGAAAAATACCGGATGGTCTCACTCATAGCAGGAATCTAGAAAACTTAAATAAGGGACCAGGAAAATGAATATAAGAAAGTGAAAATCAAAATCAACAAAAAACTATGAACCAGAGACACTTTTTGGGGGGCGGGGGGAAAGGATTGGGGTCAGAATTGGGCGTTTGCAATTGTATGGGGGAATATAAAAATAAAATTTAATATTAAAAAAAAAAAAAAATTGAAAAAAAAAAAAAAAAGAAAAGAAAAAAAAGTAGGAAAACGCAAATATAACAAACTTTTGTTACATTTTCTCTGGATCAAACCAGTCGTGACCAGTCTTTTACAGGCCACAGTTCTAAAAGTTCTCATTTCTAGCCTTGACCTTCCAGTTGCACTTGGAGTGTGTGTGTATTCTGACACAGGATCTCTCACATCATTGATTTTACTTGTTGAAATGTGGTCCACTGTCAAGAAATTACACCTTTACCGCATAAGCTATATTTTGTAAAAGAAAAATAATGCCCATGAAATGCATCTTCTGATGAGGTTAAAAAATTAATCTTTCCTTATTTGTGAACCATAAGCACATTCATGATGAAAAACTATTTATTTCATGAAAATACACACATTTCCACAAGTAAAATATACCAGGTTCTCCCAAATGGATATTTTTGTTATGACTCAACTAGTGGATGTAGGTTTATTTTTTCTAGAAAAATCTATGTGACATGAAGCTGATGTAACTTGTTCATAGTTCTTTAATAAATCAAGGAAATTCTGTATATTCATACACTGAATAAAACTCCCTCTGGATAACTTTCCAAAAAAAAAAAAAAAAAAAAAAAGAATTGTAGTGGCAGGAAGGGCCACTGAGCAGGATGTCTATGATCCAGCAGATGGGTAAAGGAGAGGCTTGGAGCCCTCCATGGCTTTCTCAGGCTTTTATTGAGTTTTACATGTAGTATGGCAAACAGGTACACAGCAGGCGGCATGCTGGGGACCAGGAGTCCCGTAGTCTCCAAGTCCCCAGCAAGTCGTCACTCTGGGCTTCTCTGGCTTTTTTCTCCAGGTCTTTCTCTCCTGCCTCTTCTGCTGCTGCTTCTCTTGGTGGCTATCCCAATACTCCTCCCATGGCCCACAGAAGCAAAGGAGACAACTTGCAGCAATGTAACAACTGCAGGGACCCATCAGGCAGGGCTGTGCCAATAGTGGGAGGGCAGAAAAGCCTGAAAAACCATTTACCTGCAGAGGAATTTGGCTTTCTTACAATGCCTATGAAATAAGATCAGGCCGGTTGTTCTATGAGTTTACCTGCTAATGTTTGATTTGTGAAACTCTTTCATATTGGCTGCAGAGCTGGAGATCACACCAAGTATTAGCTGAGACATGATGGCATGCAAATGATATGGCATCGGAGTTGGTTTGTTTCTTAGGTTTCTTCCTTTCGACTGAGACATCGCCCTGAACTTTCATCTGAGTATGGAATACACTTTTCCAGGGAAGGATCCTCCATACTTTAGAAAATACCATCTGTATGAGAACAGGAAAGGAATTGGGATATTAAAGAACATAGTTTAGAACTTAACATTTTATCTAGTCTGCTTCTTAGGCATAAGCAGTCTAGACAATTCAAGCAGACAAAGCATAACCGAGTGCTCAGTCACCTGCTATCCTTACCTTTATCAGTAGGTAGTTTCATTCTCCTTCTGTTCCCCAGTTGTCCTCAACTGTGGACACTGTACATGTGCACTGCATATTCTCTGTCCCCATCTCCTTCTTTTTAGTCCCACTCTCTCAGGTTAGCTAGAGCTAGTTTGGTGGGGGGAAAAAAGGGATATTGCCCACTGCTATTTATAACATGTCTTTTTAAATTTGTGTGCTAGTAAGTAATGTGATTATTTGTTTCCTGCATTTGACCATAAGCTCTTCAGAGACAAGAACTGTGGCTTATTCATTCCTGCATTTGTTACCCATTGGAGACTCCATGTTATTCAAAAGTGGGTGAGAATACAGCAGTGGCAGCAAAGAAAGGACCTTCCCACTGACTAATATGTAGCTGCTTATTCTCACTACTCAAATGGCCCTCCTGGACTTTCTGTACTGCAGTTTTATTTAATTAAGATGTGGTAGACACATTAACTGAAATGGATTCTGTACTAAGTAGATCCTCTAGGATTTTTTCAGATGCCTTTATGCTAAATGAGATAGGAGGTATCGTTTTATATCTTCGTATGATCCCTTTTTCCTGTCTTCTTTCTTCCTTGTTAGGAATTAAAGCAGTAGATTTGTTCCAATTTGTGTAATAAGCTGCCCCTAGGCATTATGAGATCCTCATAGTTTTCTTTTTCTGGGTTCAAATCGTAAGAGTTGCACCAGACGTTGAGAAGGGGCTCTAAAGCTGAAACACGAATAATTCAGAAAGATTGTGAAGTAAGGATTAATAGCGCCAACAGCAAGAACTGATCATGAATATAATATGTGGGGAAAATTTGCATATCAATCTTGGTAGTGTGGTCAACTCTTAACATCAATGGCCTCCATTGAATCTTGACTGTCAGTATTTGTGACATTCCGTGGTCCCTTTCCTTAATGACTCTGGGTTTGGCTAACTTGGTCAAATGAGACATTAGTAAGATTGAGACATCAGAGGATTGACAAGTTTTTGTGCATTTGGAACTTGTTGGCTCTGAAACAAGAGAAAACAGGGATTGGGATCAGTTTCATAGCACTCATAGTAAAATTTTTAAAGTAGTTGCTTTAACCTTGACCTTAAATTCCTTTTTTATATAACAAAGTGAATTTCCCATTTTCTGTAATAGAGTGATACCCAGAAAGCAATAGCAGAAAACAACTAGAGATTGCTTAAGGGAAAGAAAAATAGAGATTTCATTAATGGAAGTATTAGAAAAGGAGAAATGAGACATTGAAGGTTGTACTCAGCACACAAAAAGTAAAACAAGCAAATGAGATCTGAAATATTGATGAGATAGGACTTTAAAAGAGAGAAATAATTTAATATTTAACTAGGTCAGAGAGTGACTATAATCTGAAAAAAATTATCAGAGAAAATAGTAGTAATGCTCCCAAAGGGGAACCAAGTGCAGAACGTAAATGAATAGTTGGAGTTCTCTTGAAGCATAGAAGAGCTAGTCAGTGGTTACAAAAAAAAAAAAATCAATGGATTTTTCTATTTCTATTTTAATTTTATTTCTCCATATGTATACATGTTCCACTTACCCTCCATACTGGCCTCATTCTCACACCCCCCACATCATTTCCTCTGTAACCATTAAATAGTTTCACTGAGTTTAAGATCTATTCCTGCTGTATTTTGTCTGAGTGTTTTTTGGTTATTCATGCTTCTCAGATGAGTGAAACCATCCAATAGCTATCTTTCACTTTCTGATTTGTTTCACTTAACATAGTTACCTTGAGGACCATCCATTTTGTTCCCAAAGCCACTATTTCATCTTTTTCACATCTGTATAGTATTCCACAGATGTTTAAGCCAAGATTGTGGACCATTAGTTTAGACTACTTCATGCATTAGTAAGTACATTCCGAGGGATAAAGTTACATATAGATTCATGTTTTACCTGAGCTCTTGTGGACCAAGAATTTCTAGAGTTAAATCTTCTCCAATAAGAGGCACACAGAAGAGAAACCTTAGAAAGGAATCAAGAAGGAAAAAGTGATCAACCTGTGCCTGAAGTGCATGAGGCAAGGATCCTGAGAAGGAATTTGGATAAGTTTATCTAAGTTAGTAAGGTGAAGATGGACAAGACTTAATTAAACAATGAATGGTTTGATAATTCAGAACTTAATATTTCTGGCCTCAAAACAAACACATAGATATTTGTTTAAAAAAAAAATATATGATCCCCAAATCAAGTTAAAGCAATGGAAGGAGAGAGCTCAGTCCTAAAAATCATGGCTGGCTTATAGATTTTTCCAAGATGTAGGGGTCAAGATAAGATTTGTAAAACTAAGGGAACCTTCTGGAAAGGAGTAGGGGAATGAATTATATGGGATTGACTGGGCGGTAGTTGCCATGGCTCTCCAGCATTGAAAATGACATGACATTTCATTGAAGTGAAGTTACTTAGGGTATGAAATGTCCAAAGGCTGATTAGTGGCCACCTTTTGGGGGAAGAAACATTGCAGATGTTTTGGTCCTTCCAGGCATCAAAGGGCCACAATTTCTATTATACAAGTAATTATATAAGGGAGGAATAACCTGTTTCAGAAAAGGCAGTTAAATTTCTTCTGTGAAATAGCTGGGTTTAGTGACTTTAAGAGATGGCCATTTTTAGCATTCAGTTTAAGTTCTTCTATAGCTGAGGGTGAATCAGGTTTTTAATTGTTCTCCAGGAAACATGATAATTTGCATTTTTCTAAATATGTGTTTATGCCATTTCTTTTAAAATTATTAACATTTTCATGTGTTTGGAAAGATTTTTTTAAAAATCTGTTATTTATTTATACTTTTGATCCTTTTTTCCATTCATACCATTAATTGTGCTTATTCTCTTTTTTTCTTTAAACAGGTTTTCAAAGCTCTCTCTATATACTACTCTTTTAAAAGAACTAAGTTTTGATTATATTGTTTAACTCTGTTTTAAAATTCTTTGATCACTCTGTTTCTTTCATTTCTACCTATGCCTTTACTTCCTTCTTCCAGCTTTCTTCTTTTTCTGACTTGTTGGGTTGACAGTTTCTTAATTTCCAATAAGTGCATTTAAAACTATTAACTTTCACTTAAGGGTTGGGCTAGGTACTCTCCAGGTTTTGATGGATAGTGTTCTAATTATAAATTTTCGAAAATCTAGTAATTTCTTTACTTTTTTAAATCATGAATTATTAAAAGTGGGATTGTTTCCAAGTCTATGGGCTTGCATGGTTCATATATTATGTATATTATCATTATATTGCCAGAGAATGTTCTGTATAATATCAATTCTTTTCAATTTGATGAGGTGTATTTTCTGGATATATGGGTTTTTTTTTAAAGATTTATTTATTTATACAAGAGCTGGGGTACAGGCCAGAGGCATGGGAGGGTGAGACAATTCACCAGAGACAGAGTGGGGTGCAGAACAGGCAGATCTACTGAAATACACTGCTGAGGGGAGCAGGGGATGAGACAGGAGAGGTCCGCCGTGCCAAGTGGCTATCTCTCTGGCGAGCCCAGAATCAAACCCTCACTGTAGAGGCTGTGGACACCTTCATAGTTCTGCACTCAACCCCCTGGGCCACTTGGAGGCCAATATATGGTTATTTGTGTAATTTTTTGCATATGAAAATAATATTTATTGTGTTGAATGTAAGGTTCTTTATTCTTAAGTACATTGCACATTTGTATGTCTTAATAATTTTATCTGATTGTCTTACCTGTTTCTGAGCAGGAAAGATGTACCTCCTACCATAAGTCTGAATTTGTCAACTTAACCTTGTAATTCGGCGTGTTTTCTTTATATATAGAAGCTATTTTGGTTACAATCCTGCTTATAAGTTTGCTTTGTTTACAAGCTTGCTATATATATATATATATATATAAATATAATATATACATATATATATCAGATATCTCTTTGCCTCATTAAATATTTGATACTTAAAAATATCACTACCTCATCTTGATTTATTATTTTTTGTTGTAATTTTGTTATGTCTACTTTTAAACTTTGGTGTTCATTTGTTTTAGGTATGTCTCTTATTAGTGACATACAAGATTAAAAAAAATCTAATCTGAAAAATTGTCTCATAATAGGTGTGTTCAACCCATTTGAACTCCTATATCACATATTTTGGGATTTATTTCTATTATACTATTTTGTGTTTTCTGTGTTATCTTGCTTTTATCCTTTCACCTAGCTGTGTTACGTGCACATTGTAAACCTTAGTGGAACATTTTAGACTTTTTTCTAACATTGCTTTTGCATAAATCATTACACAAATTATTACTTTATCATGAGAAATAGAACAAGCACACCTGGTTTTCTTTTATCTATTAATATTCTTTATACATAGTAAAGTTATGTGTCAGATTTTACATTTTTAATTTCTTTATTGCTGTGATTCTACATATTTAAGGATATTAATATCTGATTTTAAAAAAAGCATGTGATCTTTCCCCAGGCAAAATGTTTGTGTTTGCTTGTCAAGGTTGTGCTTGTTTTTAGGAGTCTGTGGCTCCCCTGTAGTTGTCTTTATTTAATGGTTTGGTGAGGGGAGAGCAGAGCAAATCCAGTGATATTTATGCTGCCAATAATACAAATGACACAGCTATATGATTTAAGATTGTTTTTTCTTTGCATGTTCACTGTGTGGAATTTGCACGTGTGATATGAATTGTGATAAGGGAGGATGTGTAAACTTTATTTTTTTAAGATTTTTTTCTTTATACAAGAACTGGAGTACAGGCCAGAGGCACGGGAGGGTAAGAGAATTCACCAGAGACAGAGTGGGGAGCAGAACAGGCAGACGACCTAAAACAGTGTTGAGGGGAGCTAGGGCGAAACAGGAGAGGTCTGCTGCACGTGTGTGAATCTCCCTGGCCGCCTGGGAATCGAACCTGCACTACAGAGGCTGCTGACAGACACACAACACTGTGCTCAAGTTACTGCGCCACCATGGAGCCCTGATTTGTAAACTTTAACACAAGACAAAAAGAAATATGGGGCCAGAAAAATTGCTTACCTATACTGCTGATAATCAAGCCTCATCCAGAGCAAAACAGGAAGCCACGTTGTATCATTTGTACCTGGACCTCGAGTGCTTTCATGGATCATTTGGAGGTAACATTGTACACTGGTTAGGGCTCTGTGGTCTGGCCCCTGTATTCATGTCCCAGCTTGGCAGTGTCTGAGGTTTGTAACCTTGGGCAAGTTCAATGGGGAAATTAGAATATCTGCCTGTAAGGAACTTAAGAAAGCGCTGGCACTTTCTAAGAACTGAGTAAAGGCTCGCTAAATGACAAAATAAACTATGACAATATTTACATTTATTTATTTTTTAAAGATTTATTCATTTATTTATACAAACACTGGGTACTGTCAGAGCACGGGAGGGTGAGAAAATTCACCAGAGCCAGAGCGGGGAGCAGAGCAGGCAGAAGGACCGATGTACACTGCTGAGGGGAGCAGCGGCGGCAGGAGAGGTCTGCGCGCCATGTGGGACCCATGCATGGCGGCCCGGCATTGAACTAGCGCTGAAGAGGCTGCGGGTAGCTTTGCAGCCCAGAGCTCAACCGCTGCGCCACCAGGGGAGGCCCTATAATATTTATGTTTAGAACGGTTCTTTTAGTTAAAAGAAGCCTTTCTGACTTTATTTTTCAGCCAGCAAAAGTGAAATCATTAAGACAGTTTCTTAGATTTTTTGTACGTTGTCCTAAGCATGTTTCCACCTGGACAATCCCTGGGAAGGATGGAGTGGGATGAGCTAGTTCTCAACATAGAACCATGCCATAGCAACTGCTTAGAATGCGGACTATCTGCAGTGCTTTCCAAGCCTACAGATTGAAATTGTGAAGCATTCTGCATTTCTTTTCCATGATTTGTGGTGTGGATCTGGGTTCATTCGATACAGCTTTTCATTTTGACTCTTTGGAGAACTTTTGTGGGAAACACCACTAAAGCTGTGATAAAGGGGAGATTTCAGAAGACTGGTTGTAATTTTACAAAGGAGATACTTAGAAATAAATGATGATACATTTTACACAAATCGATTAAAAGAATTGAAAAAAAAAAACTTTAAAAACTTTAGACTGAAGGTCTGGATGTGATAACATTCCTGCAGTAATTTGGTGCCTGAATAATTTAAACAACATATGATAGTATTTATAAAAATGTATAGGTAAATGATCAAAATTAATTAATTAAGCATTTATATTTCTGTCACGTGCTTAGGAGGATGTCTCCTTATTGTCTGGGATCAATGGACCTTTTGGTGACACACCAGGGACCAAATGGAAAACATTAGCTACTAATTGCCATACTTGTCAGAAATGTTTTGCAATCATTACTCTTATAATACAACATAGTTGCGAAGTATAAAAACCAGTACTAAGTCACAGTAAAGAAATAGTCATAATAAATTGAGGCATTGCTGTGAAATGAAAATTAAGCTAGATTTTAAAATGAAAGTAAATATGAATCATATCTTAAGCTGATTAGAAATTATAAATTAAAAGCTATACAAAGATAAAGTGATAGGGATTTGATTTTTGCTTTCCTCTGATCTTTGCTTAATATTTAGATGTATTTTTAGCATCTAAAAAGCACAAGCTATATCTTACACTTCACAAGTCATCGCTTAAAAACTGTTAACAGTTTGTCATCAACAAATAAGAAATGTGTTAATGAATTTTCATTTGTTAACTAAAGAATATTCTGAAGCACTTGGTTTGATTTTATCATTGTTACCAAATCAGCAAAGGCTTTTTTAAAAAATATTTTACCAATTTTTTTTACCAATTTTCTTTCTTTTTTTAAATTTATTTATTTATACAAGCACTGGGTACAGTCAGAAATGTGGAAGGGTGAGAGAATTCAGCAGAACCAGAGAAGGGGCCAGAACAGTCAGACTGACAAAGTACACTGCTGAGGGGAGCAGCAGGCACGGCAGGAGAAGTCGGCGTGCCATGTGGGACCCTCTCTGGTGGCTG